ACCGCGCTTTAATGAGAATAAGTTGGAATGGACATTCTCATTATATGGAAGATTCTTACGTCGAACATCTGTCCTCATTTATAAAAGAACAACAAGTGCCAAAACATATTTTAAGAACTTGATTCCGGACCAGCCAATTTTCACCGCACCGGCGTTCAAAGAGAGAGAAAGGGTGAGTGTTTCAAATGTTTTGGGGATCTGAATAACGTTTTATAGAGACCATACAGTTTGTGTTATCTATGATGAAATTATTTTTGCGTATCTGTTAATCGACTTAATTAGCTGAATTGCTGTGTTATGTCTGGCACCGTTTAGGCCATGTGAAGTTTTGGACGGAACTTGGTTCAGTGATTTAGAACTAATTACGAGATAACCGTCGCTATTCGGACTACTATTTCTGACATTTTAGTATTCGTAATTATTAATGTAGTGAACGATTAATCAAAAGATATGACGTATTCAGTGCTTAGTGTGATTGGCTTTATGATTGAAGGTTACGCCCTAGAGGCTTTTTACTGCTTTGTAATTGGTTAAGATTTTGAAAGTGAATAAAGAGAGTTTTTAGTTGGTCTTGGCGAGTACACCACAACAGACGCAGTCCAGTCCTGGAGAGTCTTGGGCGCTGTGTCTTATAGAGTGCTCGACTGATCGACTAAGACGAAAGTTGAAACGTATTTCGTTGTGCGTGTCTTATTTTACTGTAAAGCTTAAGTGACTTTCTCGATTCCGTACCTCGAGGGGACGCGATATAGAGACGAGACAAGATTCCCCCCTGACACGTGTGGAGAACCCAGAGAGGAGAAATTTACCCCATGATATATGTAAGAGGTAGCAATGACGAGACATGAAAACCGAAGCGTCACACGCAGCAAATTACGCATTCACCCACCCATTTATATCATTTGTTTATTATTTATGTATTTCATTGATAGCTATAGTTCAATGTTAAAACATTTTCTCTTTTTATTTTAATTTTGAATTACTTGGACGATCGATGGAAATTGGAATATATCAGTGTATGAACGAGGAACAAGTACATGAGTGTCAATTTAGTGTAAAGACGAGAATATTGAATAAGAAATTTGCCTTATATACATTATGTACGCTGACTAGAAGAGGCTGACGAACAAGTCCCCCCCCCCCTGCGTACGTCTTCAGGGGTATTTGAGTTGCAAATCAAGAACTAACAAAGAGCCTCGCTTCAAAATACATAAAAATAAAATTGGCGTAGATTGAGTTTGAAACCCATTTTCACATTAAAAAATATGTTGTACATACAAAATAATAAGATTGTACCAATACATTATTTTGGCCCAGAAAGTACTTAATAGACATTTCACAGGCACTTCAATCACACAGAATCGACGTGAATGTTATATATAATTCACTTCTCATTTTTTGGTTTCAATTCTCAGCACGGAACTGGGTCTACATGAAATATCTGCATCGAAGAATTGTTCTTGCAAATAAGCAAAATGTACATAAGAATCGCAATTACTAGAGGAATGTAACGATATTTTTTTTAAAGGGTATCCAATTCAGCTGTCTCGGGAGACTGGAGATCTAGTTGACAGACAGTAATACCCATGGGAGCCAACTGTCTAGTACTACGGTAGTCTATACGGTTCGTGATCATTCGATCTATCTCAATTATACGTACGTTTATATGAACTGATCACAATACTAACGTAACACATTACAATCACCGAGTCGAAGAAGGAAAAGCACAGATAGAAGTCTACTCATAAATACAAATACCCAGAATTTATTCAGTTTGCAAAAAATTGTACTCCCAGGTAATAAAAAAAGTAAAGTTGGGCTTAATTTTTGAGAAAATAATGGTTGTATTTTAGTGGATAGTTACTTTTTTGTCAGTAATACAACGATTTTGTTGTCTTGAATTTTTTTTTAAATCTGGGTTTCAAAAAATTAAAATAGCGATTTTTGAAAAGTACTAGAACAAGTATCTCGAAATATGCCACTGTTACACACACAAATGCTATTTCAGATGACTAGTACAATATTCCAGATCTTAAAAATTAAATTTCATGTGTCATATTTATATATATTTATATAGTCATTTATTTATATATGTAGTTAGTTAGACAGTTAGACAGTCTGCTAGTTAGGACACAGATTATTATTATCACTGCGCTTAACAGATTGTATATCACACTGAGCCGGTCTTTATCAACTGTCAAAATTCAAGTTCAATTCTACGACCCAGGCTGTGTGCAATAGAGTAATAACGAAAGGTGAGAACTGTAGACAATTTAGATGTACTCAATTAGGACAACACATTCAGTAACAACCAGGAAGCCCTCTTGGCTATCATTTGGGATCAGCAAAAGTACCGTTCTGGAGGTCGTAGAATAAACAGAGAGAAACGATATATCAGAGTATACCAGAGTACACATCCCAAAAGGGTTTTGCGAAAATGTTTATTTTAATCATAAGAAACGTTGTTTTTATAAACTACAACATTATTTGTTAAACTGTGTCTGAGATTCATCCCCAACTTTTACTTTTTTTTTTTATCTCATTTGATAATACCTTGAGACTGCTAGTGTCATTCGATTATGAAACCAAATTCCAACAAACCAATTACTAAAAAGGAAATACAACGATGACTTACAGCTGTGGTTCAAATTTGAAAACAACCATCACTATGGAGAAGGATTGCGAGAGAAAAATAAAGCGATTGTGAATTTTCAGTTTTGTCGGATTCATTATTCAGTAGACTCAGAATGTGATTATTGCCAGTCCTGTCAGTGCGATTCAGTAGTCCGCGGTTACTCTTTTTTTTAGTAACCGTGAGTAGTCACAGAACACTGTACAATACGTCACCCCGGGGCACTTAACGAAAATTAGGTGCCGCCTTTCGGCGTAGATATTTTGTCAGATTTGGTTTAGAAAGGGGGTCTCGCTGATTGTGGAACTTCCACAAGCATTTATAGTATTTTTCATGAATTTAGTTTGGATTAGGATTTGGATATTTACGAGCGCCCTATGAATGCTAAACCCCCGGCAGAAAGAATCTCGGAACCGAATGAGTAAGCATTACCACAGTCCCTCTATCATAGTGATAGTGACTGTGGCATTATTTTTTCTGGTGTAACCCCTAGAATGCAATGAAAATGAGTTGGACGCATGCGTGGCAGTGTCAACATGGTGATTTGCGCGTCAGTTCCGGACGCCGTCGAGATATTTTTTCCAATGGTATATTGGAGGAAGCAAGAGATTCCTGGAAATATTGGGCCATTTTATAGACCATTATGACACATAACAGCCATGATTTTAGTCAAAACTGTAGTTAATTTATGAGTGTAATGGTCTATAGTGGGGCGTGTCTTTAAGAGAAAATGGTCTATAATAGACCCCTGGGTTTGAAGTCCGGGGTGTAACACCCCTATCAAACTGAAAGGTAAGTGCCCCGGGTACATCCCACACTGTCATGTGACTTAAATAATATTTGGCAGTTACTGTACTAGATCCGTATACGTGAAAGAAATTTCCATCATTGATTGTACTCGGGAATTACATCGGAGGAAACCCGAACAGCTGAAGGTTTCCCAACAACATTCATCAATACAAAACCAAAATACATTCAGTGTTTGTGTCGAACAAAACGACATAAAATCGAGTAAAGTACACTGCACTTACTATTACATTTAAAAATATGATGTAAATTCCGAACAAAATCACAACAAATCCAACAATTATTATAATAACACTTATGACACATTCCTATTTCTTGGCAATCCGTGTTCTGAATTATTCATGAAGATCAATGTAATGAGCTGAAAGAAAATTTTAATTAATGCAATTAACATAAAACTAATGTTCATAGACAACGTTCAAAAGAATGTCCGTTCAAAGGTACTCTACAGAAAAGGTAAGATATAGTAACATCTTCATTTAATATCTGTTTAATTTTTCCAAATTCTTATTAGTTGGTTGGGTTGTTGTTACCACCTTGAGTAATTGCTGTGGTTAATTTCAGGCCCATGACAACCATCATTTTTATCCGTAGTGACATCAGTAGTAGTGCAAACAGGTGGACTGGATTCCGGTATCTTCTCGCTTGTCATCATTACTGTCCCTGTTTGTAGTGTAGAGGATTAGTCGAGTTCGTCCATGAAAGGCATATTTCGTTCATCATCCTCGTCCTGCAGC